TTTTCATCAGATGTAAAAATAAGATAATAAAAGAAATAAAGTACACAGTGTTAGAAAAGAATGGAGGGTTTATTGGGCTTTCCTTTTCAGAGGGGAGTGCTGGTTTTAAAAAGGAACACAATGTAAAAATAATCATGTTTTAATTCATGTCAGAAAAGCATTGCTAAAAGTTCTTTAATATTTAGTTATATCAGTTGTTGCAATAGTATTGTGGAGTGTTTTAAACATTAAATTGCTTTACAAATGGCTTTTTACAGAGATCTGTACTGTAATTGCAAGAACCGGGGGCAGTTGTGCTCATTATATTTTCAAACTTGTAAGCAAGTGAGATTTTTTTTGGTGCCTATTTTTCTGTCCAAGTTGTGAAAATCTCCAGCCTCATAACAAAATTTTAATTGTTTACTGGTACTACACAGTTGAGAGAACTAGAAGCACGGTCTTGGTCTAGTAGTGTCTGTATATTGGCACGCAGCTCTGGCTAATAGAGATGCGTTGAAAGGGAGCCCGACATAGGATTCATTACCAGTGTAATGGTGAAGAGGAGCAGGCAGTGTTGGACAGAACTAGTACAACTCCCTTACTAGGCATTATGTATAAGAAAGGTTGGGAGAAACGGGAATGCAGCAAAATTTTTCAATGTGTCTTTTGGTGCTTTGACTAATGGAGTTCCTTTGAGTCGGACTGCTAACGCATGCAGTTTGGTCAGTGGAGGCTTTACAGGTCTTATCTCCCTGTGCCAGCGTTTCTGAATGCGGGCCTGAAGCTGAAGTAAAAGCTCTATAGCAAGCCCAGATCTCCCAGGGAGCTAATTTGGGCCTGAATTCCCTGTCACAAGGGATTATTATTGCTTAATCTGCTAATAACGTGGCAATCTAATCAGGTTACTTTACTTCTGCATACTGTTGCATTAAGGCTTGATTCTTCTTCCGTAGAAGAAAATAACAAAATTTCCACTGTGCTGTGAGAAAGAAAGTTTGGGTCTGCAGTTTACTTGATGTATCAAAAAAGACTCACTGTTTTATCTTTCAGTATGAGAAAGAAAAGAGGTTTTAACATATCAAGGACAATGCTAGTAAGATATCATAAAAATCTAGCTGATTTGTTTGATTTAGAAAGTTGTTTCCAAAAGTCTATTTATGCTAACTCAGATTATTGATTACTGTTAATTCAGTTACAGAATAATTTTCTAAATGTTCTTCTAACTGAACCATGTACTGTTCAGCAATTTGCATTCTGTTAAATTCCCTCAAACAATACAGACGCTTGTGTCAGGTCAGTTTAAGATTGATTTTACATTTTTTTTAAAGGGGATTTTACATAAGAGAAGGGATACCATCTTTATTTGTTCTTTTCAGTTGTGGAAAAGTTCAGAGGAATATTATATTCTCCAGTAAATGTGATAATAAAAATTTCCCTTCAGTGTTTTCATCTGACGTGTGACATCATTTGAGTTATGAAAAGGATGAGTGCAACTGCCTGGAAACCAGAATTAAATCAGTTGATCAAATTCCATGATCTAGATCTAAGATAGAAAAAAACCAACAACCCCCAAACAAACAGCTTTAGCAAGGCTAAGTTATATTTTAGACATTTTACTTTTAATCCAAGGTGCTGGTAATAGTATAATATAGTAATATTTTAAAATACGTGACAAGATTTAGGACTTGGAGTTTAAAATGATCCCCGTAATGGCTGAGTCTACGATACTGAATTCTGTAGTTCATTAGTAAATACGGTGGTTTGTTATGTAGATTTTTGTAACGATACTTAGGAGAAACAGTCCTATCACATAATGCTGTATTACCGCACAAGGCTGTGTAGAAAGTAGCTGGTAGTGGAATTAACTGAAAGAGCAGTTTAACAGAATTTGGCATGCTATTTCCTAATTATTATTTGATGCTAATGAAGAACTTCAATACTGGACTAGATCCAAATGATGTGGGAACCTAAAATACCATTTTATAGGTAGAAGTGCTAAAGTTCAATACTGTGATATAAAAAAAGAGCTTGTTCAGTGGTTCGTGTTCAGTGGAACTGTGCTGGTGAGTAACTTTACTAGGTATCTCCCTATTCAGTCCGTACTCGGGAGCACTCGTATCTAGACCTTGCTCGGGCTGAGTAGTTTGGTGTCCATGTTCTGTGCGGGTGTGATTTGGATCAAAGAGAGAGGCTTCTGTGTGTGTCTTAGAGTGTGCTCTGGGAGTGCTGAGCACAGAACGGCAGGGTCCTTGCACAAACCAGTTGGGACCACGTTTTGAACATTTGCACCTGATGGTAGTGTCTGGTGAGGCAGGACTCCTCATTTGGTTTGGTACTGACCCCTTTAGTACAGAGAACAAGTTGTTAAATCTGGAAGTTGGAGACCACCTGTGGATTTGTGATGTGTCCTGAAGGACTACCCTGCATCCTTGATGCAGTCCGGCCAATGATACATACTCAATTAGAAAACCAGTACTGTTAGACCAAGCACCAGTCTGCTGAGCATGCCTCCCACATTTTCTCAAGCCCTGCAAGTATTGCAAGTCTATACAGCAATAGCGCTATTGATAACATCCTGCTTAACGGAAGGTAAATGAAAGGGAAATAAGTATGATACTGTGCTAGGAATAAAAGTATCAAGCCCAGTTTATTCTGAAGTGTAGTAATGCAATGTTTAATGCATGACAGGACAGAATGATGCAATTTCTGTTGGAATTGACTCATCTGTGAGAGCTCCAGATAAATCATATTGCTGCCCTGCAAGGTACTGTATCTAAAATAATTAATACAGATTTGACCTTTTAAAACATTTTAATGAATACTGATAGATGGCCTGTGCCTTTTTGACTGAAAATGTCTTTTACTTATTACAGTTAGAGAAGAATTTCAGACCTACAGACAAATACTGATGGTAGTTTCACTTGTGCAGCTGTTATATTAAATACAGAGAGAAAATTGTTTCATTTTAACGCACTCCCTGAACTTATTACTAATTACTGGAACTGAGAAGCTGCTATAATTTACATCAGTGGAACAAAAGGAAAAGAAAAGTTTGAAATGTGACTAAAAGTAGTGGTTGAAGTACCAGATGCTGTGGCTTATAGTCCCAAAGCTCCATTAGGACTGCTTAAATGCTTCAACTTAATGTATTATTGGTGTTTGCATTCTGGTTCTATGTAGATATCTCAGTGGTAACTAAGAACTACTGAACCATACACGGAGTAGAAGAGTCCTTTAAAGAGTTTACATCCTAAAAGACAAAACAGACAAAAAGAGGCCTGAGCAGAGATTCATTTAGCCCAGATATACAGGATACAGTATTAGGATTTCTCTGTCGTCTTAACAGCTGTCCCCATGATGCTGTTGTGTGTACACCGCATATACTTAATTTTTTTATAAGAACTGTTATCAGACAAAACAAAGCCTGATACTAGTTCCACCAGATGCCAGAAGGAAGATTTGTAGGACCCTGAACCCTTCCAGTGTCAGTGGTGAGCGTGAAGTAGATCACAAGCCAGTAGGCTCTACTGTGCTTAAAAAATTTGGGCTGACTGCCAGACCTGGAGTTGCTGAGAGGAGGCAGTAACAGGAGGGAGAGGGAAAGTGAGAAGGCAGTGATGGGAGTCTAGGGAATGAATGGAAAGAGGTTAGAATGGCGTTTAGTAGGCAACTGGAGTGAAGTTCAACTTCCAAATCCTCGGAAACTATTGAAAAAGGTAATTGTCCTGTCGGCCACAAGGCTGGTGATAGTACTTGTGACAGAGGTTTTAGTTCTGTGGTTGTGAAGTCTCATCTTGATAAGCTGTGGGCTGGGTTCCAGTGGTTTAATGTCTGTCTTTCTGGTCTGTCACTGAAGCAGCCGTGAGGTGCTTGATCTCTCAATTGCTGTGCTAACAGTCCAGTAATACCTTGCAGTTCTGGGCTACCTGTGAGTTCATCAGAACATGATACAGACTTCATCCTGTGGACCAGATACTGCAGCGAGTCCATAAGCAAAAGCTGAAAGGTCTCGTGTACCCCCGAGTAATTTCTGATTCTCATCAGTTAGCAGTTCTTGATTAGACTCCTTGTGTATTCCCTCTTCAGGGTTTTCATGAAGCTTAACACATAATCTAAATCCTTTTTAAGACTACTAATTGTGCAGATGGCTTTGCGCATACTAGTTTTGTCCCATGTGATTAGTGAAGAATTTCTCAAACAACATTCCTCCCCAAAATCTTACCGTTACCTTCAGTATGGCAGATGCAAGCAAGTCGATCTGTCTTTTTAAATGATTCATTGTCTTAAAAGAAAAACACATATTCAAATGGAGGCATTTTTGTGTCTGTACATACACGTTTGAAACAGCAGGCTTTTAAAATGAATTTGGTTACAGCTTTTCAGATGTTTCAGGTATGTTTTGTTATTTCCTGTTTCTAAGAAACTATCTAAAGCATCAAAACTCGTAAGAGATGAGCATCTCTCCTTTGAAAAAATGACTGTGATTACATACTCCGTCAGGAAGAATACAGGAAGATAAGTCACCCTTGCTTTTGAAGCAGTAGGTGCATCCTATATGTCAAAATCTTAATTGCTGCATGACTTTCAGAAATGGTCTGAAAAACTTACATCTACTTTGTTTAAAATATATTTTTAATAAATTCAAGTACAGCTGTTAAGTCAGGAAGTAATGGAATTGGGCTCTCAAATTTTATGTAAAGTGCATACCCTACTATGCCTGCTAAGAAGAATCTTGTTATGCTGTCAAAATATGAGCAATTAGCCTATCAGTCTTTAGGAAATAAACAAAACAAAACCAAAAAACCCCTCAGCAAGTGAATGAAATGTATTCTACATAAATATTTAAGACCAAAAAGTGGACTTAATTCCTATAATTTGGAAGTGGTTTGACATCTGTGTCTTCTCTTTTTCTCCTTTTGTCAGATCATTGAGATAAGCAGAAATGGGTAAACCAAAACATAGAATTTCTAAATTAAGTTTCTTCTGCATAATAGTATAATATCCTTTTTTAATTTTTTTACAGATACTTTCAGTAGAACAAACGTTCAGAAACAGAAGTTCTTACTCTTGATTCCCGGGTATCAAGGACTCATCAGGCACCATCTTCAGTCTATTTCTTCAGTATTTTTGGCCAAGCAGAGGGAGAGCTTTCTTCAGCGCTTGTCCATCTGTCTCAGCTGAACTTGACTTCCTTACTGTTTTTCTCATTACAAATGCCTAAGAACAGCAAGGTAGTGAAAAGAGAACTAGATGATGAGGTCATTGAGTCAGTTAAGGACCTTCTCTCTAATGAAGACTCTTCAGATGATGCCTTTAAGAAAAGTGAACTTATGGTTGATGATCAAGAAGAAAAAGATGTAGATGTTGAAGAAGGCTCAGATGTAGAAGATGAAAGACCTGCTTGGAACAGCAAACTTCAATATATTCTGGCACAAGTTGGATTTTCTGTGGGACTGGGGAATGTGTGGCGATTCCCCTATCTGTGTCAGAAAAATGGTGGAGGTAAGTCTCGTGATAGCTAGTCGTAGCTAAAAGATGAAGCCAACCTTTCAGACTTCAAGGTTAGCAGAGATACTCACAGTAAAACCTGTTCCAGCATGTCAGGTTTTTCTTCTAATTTCTGCCAGATCCTACAAGGAAAAACCCATATTCTCTTTATTTAGAGAGACATATCTGTTGAAGTAAGTAGCAGATTCTTCTAAGATTCCATTTTCTCACTTTAGGGTAGAAAGTTCTTCATATGACCTTAACTAGTGGTCAAACTAGTGGTTAAGCAAAACACATCTTTATGGAGGAGTTGCGTTATTTGGGACCTGATTATTGTTGTGCTAAAGTGTTCTTTATAGTACTTGGACAATAAATCAAGGCATTAAATCTGCATCCACTTTAAAGACCAAAGCAGTATTCAGTCTTTAGTATTTAGTGGTACAAAGCTTCACACTTTTACTTTTTAATTGCCTTTCAGCTCCTGAGCCATTTGATCATAATTTACTTTCTGCAAGAACAACAAAATACTGTAGGAGTGAAAAGGATTTTTTTACTGGTAAAGAATAATTTAAATGATAACATTTACGTTAAGGGAATACATCTGTTTTGTGCTGTTATATGGTTAACTATTTTCCTAAATAACAAGTTACCTTTCACTTAGAACAATAACATCAAGCTGTTTATTTGTTAGCTGTCCATCTATTGTGTGGAATGTAGTATAAAAGTATGAGGCTGGAGACCTTCCTTTATGAATGCAGGATTAGGGCTTTATCCTATGCTATACTGTACCCTACTATACTACATTAATGCACATCCTATTGTAGTTTATTACTTAGCTGAATTCAAAACCAACCTGTCACTTTTTATGATACAAAAAATGAATCTGTACTACAGAATAGAAAATAAAGAACAACATTTGATTCATGCTGGATTTTAAAAGTTGAATGGTAAAACTGATGTAATTAAGGAGTACGGAAATGAGCCTAGAATATAACCAAGAATACAGTTTTGTACTTTACTTGTTTTCTCTCATTCAATTCAAGCAGTAAAAATGGAGTTTATACTTTCAAATATTCCATCTCCAGGATAAAGTCTAAATTCTTTTATATCTAGTGATAAGATTTATTTTCACTCTCATTAACTTCCTTTTTTTTTTTCCTCCTTTATTCTGGAGAGAAAGTCATTAAATGGTTGATTTAATGATTTGTGTAGAATCTAAGTTTTCCTCATTTGTAACTGTGATATTAACTGAGAAAACGCGTTGAATGTAGTTTCTGAAAAAAACATAGTTTTTCAGTGGATGGCAATTTTATCTAGTCTACTAAACACAGTATAGAATTGATCACGTATCACTACTAGTTGAAAAAATTAATACATTTGTTAATGAACAATTTTTAAAACAAATTGATTTGTAGTTAAAGATGTAGCTATTAAAATGTTTATATTCTGTATCATTTCATCCTAAGTATGGTGTCAAGGTGCAGTCTTAAGGATAATGTGTTACAGCAGTTTGTTTTGTGTAGTTGTGTCCCTTTTGAAAGTCTGTGTTTAATATAGTTAGTTACTAATTTTGCAAACCCATTGGATTCTCCTTTGAACCAACAGAAAAGATCTGTTGGTATGTTCCTTAGGCTGGTGGACTCATACCATCAGGCACTTCTAAACTTACTCTGCCAGTGAGTGTAAATTTAATTCAGAGCAAATATAAATGTATTCATTAGGAAAAAAACCCTGACCTTCAGGGATTATGGCACTTCATTAATCAAACTTGAAAAAATAAATATGGAGTCATTTCAGGTTGAAATTAAATGTTTTCCCCTGTGCTGTGATTGCAGGAACTTGGATATATAACATAGTCTGTGGAGACATAATGTTTTCTGCACATGGCTGAGACAAGGATGTATTTGGCTTTTAACAATAATTTTGCACCATTTTAGTGAATTGCAACCTTCAGAACAACAGAGAAAACCAAGTGATCGTTAGAGCTAAAGCTTTCTTGGTTTTCAAGTTACTCATAATGCAAGATGGAGAAGGTGACACAAAACATTGAAATGTGTAAAGTACATTGGTGCCTGTATATGTGTGTGCAGATGGACAGATAATTCTCACAAGTGTGTAGAAGAATAGGGTAAGGGAGGGAGGGAAAAGTTCAAACGCATGGTAAAAAAACCTACATACATTTTATGAGGTTCCGGTTTTCTGCTACCCATACTATTTCATATATGTTTCATTCTAGGTAAAATTAGAGTGGTTTTATGCAACCCGTTCTAAATATCTGTGTCAGAACTGTTCTGTAGTCTTTTGCTGAGAAAGCTTTACTATAAATACCCGTTGAAGTCTTGGAGTATAAGGTAAACAGCCTTTCTGTGGATTTTCATTAGAACTGTTTCAGTGGAGTGTATGGCTAGGTCTCCACGTTCAGTCTTGTCCAAACATTTTTCATTTTCTTCCCTGTGTTTAAGCAACTTACATCTGACAAATACCATCAGGTGAGGGGACTATATTGAAAAATGGTAAACCAAGAAATCTACTCCAAGTTTAAAACAAAAAGAAAGAAGAAAACATAGTTACTCATTAGTTTCCTTCACAGGTTTCTTCCAACATTAGGTGTTCCAAAGCCATCAGTAAAAGAGAAGGCAAATCCTAACCATGTAGTAATCTTCAAATTTGTCTTTTTTTCTTTTTTAAAACTTCCGCGACATAAACAACAAAAGCAACAAAATAAACATAGAAAAGACACAGAAAAGTTAGCCCAAATAGGTGTATATTATTAGAGGGTTTTGTGAAGAAAAAATGGGGTGTTTACCGCTCTGTTTTCTAGAGTAATGGGGTTTGTTTATGGCTATGGCCTGTGGTATGGCAACACTCCTGACTTCAGAGCTCTGTACTGCTTCAGTGAGGTATCTGCGGTACCATCTTTAAAGGTAACTTGCGTATCGCTACACTGCACTGGTACTTGGACGTTCATAGGCATCTCTCCAATCTCTATTTCCAGGTCTGGTCTGTACCACCTTTGCTTTCTTTCTTGTGATCCTTTAATAGTTTTTCCTGTTGCTTTAATTCATATAAACTCATAAATATTTAGAGTAATATCTTGTATTTTTTATGCTCATTTAAATTACAGCTAGAGTGGGTAGCTCTTTGCTGGCTTTCACACTTGGCTCTTTCCCACAAAGAAGTTTGTCGTGAGAGGTGAGAGAAGAGGCTAGTATGCAGCTGTGATGAACTTCGATTGACATTTGGGATGTAGCTGTAATGCAGGAAGTGTCAAGAGAAAGAAAAAGGCTGGGAAGAGACTGAGAGCACTCCAGGGTGCTCATTTTCTTGACTTGGGATGAGAGGGAGGGCTCAAAGGAGTTTTAGGCTCTGCAAACGAAGGGCTGAAGGTGTTCAGTAAAGTTTTGAGGAACTGACTACAGATCTCTTTGCCTTCTTCACCTCTGTCCTCACCACAGGTCCCCCTTCTCCCTGGTAGGCAATGCCCAGTCCCCATCTGGCACTTAAGGCACCTCTTCCACTCTTTGCAGCATAACAGATGAAAAAGCTGTTTCTTCCTTGATGCCTCACGAAGGTGATTTGCATTGGAGCTGGGCATACTCTTAACTTAGCTTTAAAGGTTTTTTATATTTATCATTTTTACACTATACAGTTTATTACTCCTTTACTATATGAAGACAGACATGTTTGTTCAGATAGGCACAGTTCCTATATAACAATTTCATAACCTATGTTAGCATGCAATAGGTTCAAAGCTGCCTCAGCTTCCTATGATTGGTAGTGAGCCTTAAAAATAAACCGCTCAGGTCTACCCAGTCTTGCCGTGAGGCTAATAAATAGTGACAAACTATACCTATATTTTCCTGCTGCTCATTGCTATCATCTGGTGAATAGCTTGCACACCTTTCACTTTTTTCAAACAAAGGAAATTAAATTTAAAGTTTATTCTGTTTGTTTGTCGTTTTCCCTTAGGATTATCAGAAGTAAAATGGTACTTTCACATATTAGAAGTAACAAAAGCAAACTAAATTAGCTGTTCTGCTAGAATACGTGATATTTGAGTGAGTTTTATTATGAAGACAAGTGAACATAGTTATCTAAGAGGTGCTTCTAGTGTTGCAGATGTTATTGGGAGTCTACAAAGTACTACACACCTAAAGATTTTGTATTGCATTTTCATGAGCATTAACTTAATTTTCCTGATTTTTTTTAAGATTTTTTAATATCTCTGTGACATAAAAAATAAAAAGAACTGTAAACAATGATAAACAGATAAAAGCTGTGAGTAGCATAGGGAAATCTGTAGCAGATTAGCTTGCCATTATATTTTGAAAAGATTGACATGGGTAGAGTCACATCATGAGTTTTCACAGTTAAGTAGTCTGGATTTTATACTGAAATACCAGCAGATTGAACAGTTAATTTCTGTGGTCTTACAAAAAGCAAAGCAGCTATTGCTGAGAAGTGCTGAGGAAATAGTATGTAAACTGTTAAAGGCTGAATAGTCATTAGAAGCTACAGTCTGATTATCTTAATAAAAGTGGAATGGGAGCAAAGCAAGTATTCCCTTGTATTCCAAAACTGAGTATGTATTCAATGGCTTCATTATTTAGCTTTTGATCAATAATTTATAATCAGTGCCTTGAATTCACTGATGACTTCAGTATTATTTTGTGAGTTCTGATTTGAAGTGTATTATCAGACTCGAAATTTAGTTGTATTTCAGTGTGCTGAAAATGTCTTATTTTTATTTTGCAAGTGTAATTCTTCATTAAAGCTTATTGTCTAAGGGGATTTTCATGCTTTAAGCACAGTTTTGTAAATAGGCACATGAACATATGTAAGCTGTGAAAGACTAGTGACAGGAAGACTATTCTATCAGTAGGATAGACTACAAACCTACAGATAAAACATAAAACCTTTTATCAGAGTTCCGATAAAAACAGTTTGTGTTCTGTAATGGTAAATAATTTAACTTATAGGAGCTTAGTATACTGTAAACCTATAGTGTTTTGTTGCCCACTTGTCATAACTTTGAAAATGTTAACATTCGACATTGAAAAATAAGTTGATCTTCATCTGAATATCAGCTTCTTGCTAGCTTTCTATTAGTAAGTGTCTAGTAAACTATAAGAACTGGGATGTCTCCTCAAGGCAGTGGTAAAGCTCACCTTCATTGAATAAGAATTAAATCAGGTGCTAGACACTTAATTAAAAACTAGCATAGCAGCTGTTGAAACAAATCTGGAAAGTTAATAGATTTTTCAGGTTACATCAAGAATGGCTAGGAGAAGAAAAGTTCTTCTGTAGTATCAAGATGCTAATAGTTACGTTGTCTTGCATTACTGCTTCTGAAATTATTTTCCAACTCTTTAATCATGTCATTTTATGTTATTTTTTCCCCCTTGAGCATTTATAAGAACTTAAATCAAAACCAATGTTGATATTCCATTTCTGTCAATAATGTTGCCAAATGTAGTACATACTGTAATATCAAGAGAGGCAATTCACCAGTTATCCCATTACAATGCTTGGTTAAATAAAAGAATTAAGAAATCAAAGCAGTGCAATGCACAGTATTAACATTCACCAGTTCCTGAAATCTTTTGTATCTCTGTCATTCGTTCTAGTGAAGAAGGATGAGGTGTATTTTTGTAGATTTTTTGTTTTCCTTGTGAAGTTAAGATGAATTTTTTAATACGAAAGCCAGTGTTTAAGGCCAAAATATGCAAAAAAGTGACTTTACAGTATAATTTTGAAAATCTAGAAAGGAGAACTGGGCATCCTGAACCACACAGAATTGTAATATTCAGAAGGCTGCTTAGCTGACAGATCTAGCAGACAATGTAACTAATTGTAGGATGCTGTTCAAGGTCAGCATGTATAGTTTATTGTTCTAATTCAAATAAAAATGATCCTTATTCAATATTGTAACTCCAAGGACCCATCTTTTCATGCACTGACAAATAGGAGACATGCTGAGCTGTTTCCATAGTGATTCTGTTTTATGATGAAGTGAAGATATCTTACAGTTCTTTGAAGTATGTCTAGCTTCAAGGGAAGGCTGAAACAAAATACTTGTCCAGAGATGATGTGGTTTCATGTTGACTATAGGGCACAGAAGCCCTTTGCAGCTGTGATATACAGTTGTATAATCCAGCTATGTCCAAACTATATCGCACTGAAACTCATATGTGCACTATTTTCCATTATGTCCTTCTTTTGGGGAGGGGCACAAGATCAGAAGGGAGCTCAGCAGGTTTGAATGATCAGAAGACCAGCGCTTCAGGTGCTCTGCACAAGCCCTGCAGTACAGAGATGAAGTCCGCTGGCTACCCACGCTGAATTGTAGGGTTGTGTCATGTGTAATGTAATGTGGATTTAACACCACATGTATTTAACTCATTTAGTTGAATCTAACTGATAAATCTTGCAACTTACATTGATACTGCACCATAAAACACCCACGTCAGCCCAGTCTTTAAACATGTGCTTAACTTTGCAGCCTTGTGATTAAGGTTGTGGACTGGGACACTGAAGAGCTGGGTTCAGTTCCTGCTCTAGTGCAGTCGTCCAGTGGGATACAGGGTAAGTCACTTAGGCCCCAATTTTTTTGAGCTGTTTAGGCTTGTCTCTGCTCAGCTATGCAACACCTGTCTAATTAAGACCTCAGGTATCATTTACAGTAGTGTTATACTATTAAAAAAACTGTGTACTCTTGGCTTTCAATTAATTGTATGACCAAGTTTTTAAAGATAGTGATGCCAAAGCTTCTAATTTGCTGTATGAATTAACAGTGTACTTCTGTCTCGCAGAAATTTTGAGAGAATGTTGATGATAAATCAAGGGTATTTAACAGTATTATTTGCCTATATATTCTTAAGACAGATAGTCCCCCTTATTCTGGAATGTGGTTGTTACTCTCTTCCTCAGTTTTCCTCATGTTTGTTTCCTTCTGTCTCTGTTGTCTCTCTTTTCATAGTAGAAAGTAAGTCCTTTGCGTTCTTTCCGTTATGTGCATGTACAAGATGAACCACAAGAAACACCAAATACTGATTGGGAGTGTTGCTGCTACCTCAGTAGAAATAATACTTAAGTCTATACTGTGCTGAAATGGGTAGATAGACCATGATGTTTGGCTCTGTGAGGGAGTATTGTAACCTCAGAACCAGTACATTGTTCAGAGCCTGGCATAGGTTTTGACCAAATGCTGCTCAGACAATATCATTGCATATCATATTATCATGTCATGAAGACAAAACACAAGGAGCTATTTCATTGGTAACAGTAGCCTGTGAGGTAAATAAGATCAATATTCTTTGTCTGGTCCACCAGTAGTTTTTCTCAGATTTTCTTTCTTCTGTCTTTTTTCTTACTTTTCTTAGACTCAAGACTGTAGTTACTCCATGCTTAGAATCTTTGTAAGATCTTTGTAATGGAAGGTGATGTCCAATTTGTGTGTAGCAAGTGGACCTAAGTGGGAGTGGATGTTACCAGAAAATCTGAGGCCTCCTGCACAGCTTAGGAAAGTTTAACTTTTCTAAAATAAACTGCATTCCATGAGATAAGCTACCTACTAAGGATATGCAAACGACAGTATATTTTGATAGACTTCTAAAAAAGCCCTAGAAAGTTGATGCTGGATGAAGAAACTTAAAGTAGGACTTAGCTGGAGTTGAGGATAAATCCCAAATTGGTTTCTGAACTTTGCTCAGCTTCCCTCTCATCACAGAGATGAATAGATTGATTAGACAACTTAAGAGCTCTTCGTCTAAGCTTCTGAGGTCTTTAGATCTTTGCTTTGTAGCTTGCTCCAACATGCTGCAGTCTGCATCTCTCAAGTGCTTTTCTTTAGCCTTGCAGTGGTTGCAATCAAAAGTCCTAAGCCCTTTCAATTAGGTGGCCAGCACAGTGCTCTATATTGCAGCATAAGAGCCGCGCATTTGAAAACAGATGCCACGTTGCTAATTGCTGATGCCTAAATGTTTTGTTAGCTCTAGTACTAAATACTTCTCAACAGCAAGGAGGAAGTTAGGCTCTGAACTTGTCAGTGCACTTAGTGTATGGATATATTTGCTTGCAATTAGTTTCACTGAAATAAATGGAGATACATCCTGAAGTTAGAATTGTATATGACCACTTCCTGGGAACAAGACCTTGAAAAAAGGAATTGTTTTACATATATATGTCTAAAGGTGAAGTAACAGTTGCATTTTCAAATATGTTTTTAACGAGAGTTTGTGAATACTGCAAGATCTGGATCTAAAATACTCCATTTCATTTCCACCTCATGTCTCTAGTCTCTGTCTGGAGCCTGGTAGAAATGGGCTGATAGAGTTTATATATCTGTATATATATATGCTTAGCTGGATAGAATCATTATTCTGTACATTGTGAAATCCCCTTTCTGAACATCTGAGGTGCACATGGAGAAATGAACAGTATGGTCTTCTGAAACTGCTTAAGATGGGATGAAATTCAGAATGTTGTATGCACAGTATTTTCTGTATTTCCTTTGTAAATTCAGTCTTGCTGCTCTGTTACAAGTCAAGGTGTAGAGTTTTTTAAGAAATGTTGATTCAGCTCCTGATTGCATCACTATATTTCTAAAAAGTTTCATCAAATGCCCAAAGTTTCGCACAAGCGAACAACTAGATTAGATAATAACTCACTTTCAGTAAGTTTTGCCTCAAAATGTTACAGTGCTTTAGAAATTCGATGTCTCTGGGCTTTTCATATCTTACAAGACGTATGGCCAAGATTCAGGTAAAATTAATCTTTGCATGTGATCAAAAAAGCTTTGCAGTGAATGACACTAATTTAAACTTGAAGCTATTAGAAGGTTTCACATTTGTTGTGTCAAGTTGTGACTCTTCTCCCTCTCACTCTGATTCATACTTTGTTCCTTTCATAGGTGCCTATCTTGTGCCATACTTAATCCTGCTACTGATAATAGGGATTCCACTCTTTTTCTTGGAGCTTGCCGTGGGGCAGAGGATCCGCCGAGGGAGTATTGGTGTGTGGAATTACATCAGCCCTAAACTTGGAGGAATTGGATTTGCAAGCTGCGTAGTAAGTTTTTAACATTAATTGTGTGATTTACTTTCAGTCTATATGATTTAGGCTTTCTGTTTTGCTACAGGGAAAGGCCACTGATTTGTAGCTGGGCTTCAAGGTCAGTTTACACCGTTTTGGAAGATACTAAATTAGTATATTAAAAAATGTTGATATAGTAGTGTCTGTAAAACCAGTCAACTTGTATTTTGTGATTCTTTCAAAATTAGGAACAAGGGAACAGAGTAGTCTTCTGGAGAAAAAAATTCTGTAAAAATATAGGTGTTACACGATAAATACAGAGAAAGGTGAAAATTCAGAAAATGCCAGGTACTTCAATGGAGCAAGCCATTCAGTTTTTATTCTGACTTACTTTAGTTAAAATTAGGTTCAGTGGCTGATATGCAGAAACATGCAGAAGTCAGTAGGGATTTTTTTTTAATTTACAAATGTAGTTAATAAATGTAACTTTTTTTTTTTTAATAGGTATGTTTCTTTGTGGCCCTGTACTACAATGTCATTATTGGATGGAGTCTGTTTTACTTTTCCCAGTCTTTTCAGCATCCATTACCATGGGACCAGTGTCCTTTAGTTAAAAATACATCTCATACCTGTAAGTCTATATTAATGTTCTTAAAAATCATATAAAATACATAAAATCTGAGATTTTCAAACAAAAAGGAGAAAAAAATACAATTCAAATATCTATTTGTGGGGAAAAAAAGTGTTGTATGCAAAGCTGCTTTTGCATCTTAATAAGATGTCACATTACTTGGAAAAAATACAATAAAGAAACCTAATCTAAAATAAATAGTGATGTTCCTTTCCAAATACAGTATGTCAACACCATTTTAAAGAGTAATGAAGTTAAGAGAGTGCTATTTAGTGTGTTGAAGGAAAAAAAAATTCTGATTTACTTTTTTTCTGATTTTGACGCTGCTTTTTATGTTTATTTGGTGAAAAACAAAAGTGGAAGAAAGATACTTCTACATTTCAATTAATAAGGTACTTCCTGGCAACAAAGCAAAAAGTGTTGCATTACTAACAAAGCAGAAAATGGAAAATTGTAATCATCAATTAAATACATGTAATAAAAGCATTGTTTGCTTTGTAAACCAATAGAAATTAGATAATTGGTCATTGGTTTGTTGCTATAATGAGATGGTCTCAAATGGACATACTATGCAACAGCATTAAAAGTTCCTTATCCCTTGGTTTTGGTTATGTCATAATAGTTATGCACTTTGCATTATCCTTGCTCTTGAAATATGAAATACTTCTTTTTATTTCAGATCTTAAATTTTCTTTAATTATATTTTGTGGTTTTTTACCCCTTTAATAAAGAACATAACCAGGGATATCTGAAAAGTTGTACAATGTTTTTATACTGTCTTTGCCAGAGTTGCTTGCTTCAGTTGTTTAAAATAATCAGTATTTGTGAATGTTGGCACACAGTCAAATTGACTGTATTCCACAAGCTATTGTCCATTAATCGAGCCACAGCATTTGTTTACGTACTCTTATCCTGCCTAAATATTAAGATATAGTGTGTCAGCCTAACTTCAGCAGAGGTCAAGTTCATCTGAACTAAGCTTAAACAAGAAAAGTATTATATTTGATAACATCCTATCATTTTTGACAGTTTATTTCAGTGAAGATCTGACACCTGTTATAGGTTTCTTAAAATTAGTGTATTTTTCCCTTCTTTTCATTAACCTTCACTCAGGACCTAGCTTAGAGATATGACTGATTGTCAGATATAAATAATTTATAAAAAGGTTAAGTGCATATTTTATTTGAAGAATTCTTTCTGTTTATATCTGTAATATGTCTAGATACACACAACTTCTTAAACTGTTCAGTAACGTGAATAAAGCAGAATTACAGTATAATCAATCACTTCTGGAATACACATAGCAACTTTCATTTAACGTAGCTGTGTAGGAGCCATTTTTTTCTTTTCTCATCACTTTGGTATCATTATGTTATTATTTTATCATTTCTAATAGTAATTAAGTGCCTATTGATTTATGTTCTATCAAAGCAGACACAACTGAGAATTTGTTTTCCATATATTTTCAAAATTAATGTAATTCAGTGTTCAATTTGAGAGAGAGATACTTTTCATAGTACGTAAGTCACAATATCATATGTAGGTAAATCTACTCTTATGTGTGATAAATGAAATGTATGTCTTCATCTAGGCCTGCCTACTATTTAGTACTTAAGTGAAAATTAAATTTTGCTTAAGACTCGGATTGACCATATGCAGAGGAATACATTATCCCAAAAGGTTGGTTTACAAAGATTTTTCCAGAACCTTTCACCGATAGCAGTCACTTTTTCTTTTAGCGAATGTCTTAAGACTCTTTGTGAGTTTAGTTTCTCATGATGACAGCATGATGACAGCACGATGACAGCACAATTGCAAATATTGGGAATTGGTAGAACATTGTTACGAAATGTTGGGAAAATACTTTTGTCTTGAACCCATTCTTTACTTGCTGACATCTCTTTACAGTTGTGGAGCCAGAGTGTGAAAAAAGTTCTGCAACCACTTATTACTGGTACAGAGAAGCGCTGAACATTTCCAGCTCTCTGTCAGAGAGCGGGGGTTTAAATTGGAAGATGACTATCTGCTTGCTGGCTGCCTGGGTCATGGTATGCCTAGCCATGATCAAAGGCATTCAGTCTTCAGGCAAAGTGAGTATACTGTTTACCTAAATGACCGTGTTTTACTTTGAAACATTTCACAACATTTTTGTTCACCACACCCTCTCATGAAATCTGTAGGAGCAGGTTAGAAGCTGTGACTCGCCCCAGTATTTGTATAATCTCAAATAGAGGAATGTTAGTAGTTAAGCATTAAAACTGTATTAATTTTAGTGGGAATTGTAGCAATTTAGTGGGAACGGAGATCTGAAGAAGAATCATTTCTGTTCTCATTAACGTAACTGTTGCAAGTAACTGTACCTTAGCTTTGTTGAACTGTAAATGCAGCGTAAGTCTGTGTACAGTTTCTGAATGTCTAAGGAATTAGGTTTCCGTGAATACTCACAGTATGATTGCAGTGCACTCAGGTCCTCAAAATTCCTTGGCAGTTTGCTTTTTATTGTTACTGTCATTGGTATCCATGCTTCTGTCATTAACACAGCTGCTTTTCAGGATTCTGGATTGTTTCTTTAGACTAATGACTAGCCATCCCTTTGCATCTGAGTCCACCACCTCGTCTTCTTTCCTTTCCATGCAGCCAGCTGGATTGGCTAGTGAATGATTTACTAGCACTGTTGATCTCAGTGGGACTTTCAGATAAAAAATAATCTGTTCTAGTAGCAAAATTCTTTGCGATTATAAAGTTTGGCACTGAGGTGAAAACTTCTCTGACCTCTTTAGTGTATTTCAGTTAAAGAAACAACTAGTAAGTTTAGCGAGAGAATAATTATACTAAACTTTAAAGCACAGAGATTTGTTTTCATTCATGATGGAGAATGAAAGATTGTATTTGACTACTAATTTTTTATTTACTCTTTGTATTAGATAAATGAGCCAGTGTGTCAGAAAGGTGTTCTGTTATACAAGTGTTTAAGTGATACAGAAGCCCAAAAGTGTTGGGCTTCACAAATGCAGTAGTAAAAGCATGCTGCTTCAGCGTGGAAAGCTGCGGCAACATTGCACTTCAGGATTCTGACAACTCTGTGGCATTTTGTTTGTCCAGTAGTCAATGCAATATTGCTTTCTAGTTTTTATGACTCAATCCTACTAGATCTTAAATCATTTCTGTAGATCAGAGAATATCCCCAGCTTTTCTTCTGTTTTGGCAGTAAGAATTGCTTAGTGGTTTGAATCCATTGGTTTTATACTTTCCACTGACTGTCTTCTCTCCTGAAGACAGAATGAGTTTCTGTTCACGCTGCATATCTTTACCATACTGTGTACTTGAATCAAAGTGCATTTGTAAAGTGAAGCATTTCTAAAACAGTCTACTTCTGTCCTTCTCGTTGTCATCTCCTTTAATTCATAGTGAATTTCCCTGGAAGCTCAGCAGTTTGTTAGCAGTTAGTCAACACAACGGCAACCGTATTGTTTTAATACAGTACAAAATTTATTTTACTGTCATGTGATTTTGCTTTCTTCTGCAGAGACAAGGTGAATGGGAAGTGTTTTGCATATTTCTTAGAGCGTATGATTATCAGTTCAGTCATATACTGAGTAACGAATGAAGCTATTGGAAACAAAGTTCGTGGATGTCATGTTAAATTTCTTTTTAATGTTTTCCAGATCATGTATTTTAGTTCCCTTTTTCCTTATGTGGTACTTTTATGCTTTCTGATCAGAGGACTGCTCCTTAATGGGTCAGTGGATGGAATTCGTCACATGTTCACACCTAAGGTATGCGCTTAATTTCTGTTTGCAGTGTATTGAAGTTTCAGTGGCAATTTGACCATTTATGAATGCTGTCATTTAAGCATATTGTCTTCATAGAACATTTGACCATTTTCCTGTTTGGTTAAATTGCAAAATTGTTGTTGACCTCAGTGACACAGTATCGAGCCCTAAGGCCCAAAGGCTGTAAGTGCTCCAAGGGTCTGTGTAGAGTTACCTCCCTTAGGTGACAAGTTCACAGAGTTAGATGCCTTTACGAAGCTAAGCAACTGAAAGTGTTATTTCCAGGATTTAGGATGTTTAGAAAGCTCCAAATACTGAAAAGAGAAGTGAATCTTCAATCTTGCCATTCTCTAGGATTGAAATGCCTAATTCGGGGATGTCACAGTGAAATGCCTTACCTTGAATGCTGTCATGGATTTATATAATTAACTTGTCCCTTTTGAAAGGGGACAAATTTGTCCCTTTTTAGAAATAAATTAGTGCTGTTTGCATAGTAGCCCAAAAGTACAGGAGACCTGTCTTTAATGCTCTGCTCATCTTGTAAAAGTAGTGTAAGTACTCACCACTCAGCTTTCCTTATCATGTTCCATATGGTTGTCATGCCAAGATAGCAGCAGGTCTAAGCATACATTTTTTACTGTCAGCATTTTTACTGGGAATGGGTCTTACAGAACTTTAGATTTTATAACGACGGAGGTGAGGAGGGATGTTACAAATCATTGTTTAGCCTGAAGATCTAAATTCTACCCACAGCCGTCTCAAATGCCTGTAGCTGTATCTATACTACAGGAACAGCATGTTTGAGTAGTCAGAGCCATACTTGCTCAGGAATGCATAATGCTAGGCTTCATGAGGTATTATTGTATTATGAAATATACTTTGCAACAAGCGCATTTCATAGTACAGTTGAGCAGAACAGGACTGATGTTTCAAAAATGAAAGCTAAATAATAAGATCATTAAAATCAGTGCACATAGTGGCTAATGCCAGATGACAGGGGTGTTGTCAGTTGTTTTGATTCCAGGTGTTTTGAGTGTGTGGAGAATTGTCATCCTATAAAAATGACCTTTGTTAGCTATCACATTGTTATTTCTTGCATTGTGATATGCAGTCGTGCTCCACTTCACTCGCTGTCACTGCTTTAGAGTTGTAGTTCTGCAGGAACTTGCAGGCTGCTCAGACAAATTTGGGAAATCTGAGGAACAGAGAAATGCAATGCTTATTGACGAAGAGGAAGTCTATAGCAGAGATGGAATACAGGCCTCCTGAAGTTATAATTTGGTTTCTCAACCATAGTATTAATCCTTTCTTTAACGGGAGAAGTACCACTAGATACTGAGGGAAAGTAAACACTGAAACTCCCCTTGAATACCAACACCTCTTCACTCTTCACTATTTCATCTTTCATGAGTTAGACCTAAAATAAGTTGCAGCTGGTGCTCACTTTATAGTTACGTTATAACTTAATCATACTGTTGTTTCAAGTGTTCAGATAAACAATCTTGAAAGAAACATTGGTTTTAATTTCTTCTACTGGTTTCCAGTACTGTATCTCAAAATTTAAGTTGTGGCTTAAATTTGAGGTTAGGAGGCCTATATGTCACATACAGTATATGTGAATATAAACCTTAAAAAGTATTTTCATTATAATCTCTGATTGTTTCTGTACTTACGAACTAATTTGGACTGTGGGTTTGTATGAAGCTGCCTGAAGGAATTCAGAGTCGCCCACCTGTTGTTGTTTCCATTCGCTCCATTGTGCTAAGTTTATTTAGGCAGGCAGACTAAAAAGAATTGCTAAACTGATGTAGGCTGAAAATAATCCAGGTAGATAGACATGAGGGGGGAGAGAGAAACATTTTTTCAGCCTCGATTAGTTCAGCAAACAACCACATTTTGACCACAGACATTGACAACACACTCCCACAGAAGAGTTGTGTCAGCACAGCAGAGGACTGGCACACACATTGGTGCAGGTGTGAGAGCACAGGGCTGATGAAGAAGGGAAGAATTTCTTTCTTTGGCATGGTTGATGAACAAAGCAGCAATTCTAAATAATAACCTTAATGAAAAACCTAAAGAAAGGTGTATGAAAAGCCCAGTGAAGTCAACTACTACAGCGAAACTGTAGGACTGTATGAAGCTTAAATACAGAGCCCCCAAAATTTCACAGAAAATACCTTGTAATAGCAAATCAGTTACAAGTTTATTTTGAAATGCTAGGCAATGTGTTTCTGAGGACATGCTACCTTTGATGATACAAAAGTATACACTGGAGAAAGCAAGAAGTGTTCGGTACTTAAACCATTTACAGATTTGGTAAAATTAAGACTATTCCTCGAGCTCCCTCTAGTGGAAAAACTCTAGCATGACTGTGTGATGCAGGCAGATTGAACTATGTGCAATAGCTACTTATGCATTGTAATTTTAACAAAAATTATGTTAGGAACAAGTTTATTGACATAAACACCTTTTTCTTCAAATATGTTGTATTTTAGCTATATGTAAAAGAATATAGAAGGTATCTGCTACCTGTCTATAATAAATATACCTTTATGGGAAATGGGAAGATTTTTCAAAATGTTATCATAACAATAGCAGACTTATTTTTTTTCCCTCACAGTAAGACAATCAGTCATCTGATGCTGGCATCTATGCTGATGCTTTTTAGTTTTACTGTTTTCGATAAGCCTAGGGTTTAAACAAAAAAAAAAACGGCAAAAAACCTCAACACATTCACAGAAGTAAGGTCTTTCACTGTTGAACGGAGGCCCTGAATCAACTTGAGAAAAATCTAGTGTTTAAATTTCACATGTACTTCTCTTTTATGATTCAGTATCTAGAAGGATCTGAGATAGATAGATGGATGACTCATAACTTTAACAAAGACATTTCTTGAAGTATGGTCATCTGAAAGAGCAATACAGTTAAATTTTTTGATAAAAGGCTTAGTTGTCCCTCAAATACATGACTCATTTCACTTAGGGTAAGTTTGAGGCATTTAGCTTAAGGGAGATTTGACTCATGGACTATACAGATTGTGGTGGCCAGTGTTTATTTCATATGTTGCATTTTGCTTTACATATTTGCATGTAATAGAATTCCATATAAGCATGTGTATCTCATGGTCACTTTTTTTTAAAAAAAGTATTAACAAAACAACTGCATTTATAAGAGGGTTGATCATCACAAAATAAATCGTAATTCTAACAGCCGATAATACAGTAAAAAAAAAAACAGTAAATACCATTAAAAAAAAAAAAAGATGGATGTTGTCTCTTATTTCACAGTATAACTAGCTGCTAGTTCAGTAATCATATAGCTCCAGTAGTGTCTCATTGTTTGGAACATACTCTGTTTCTCTTTAAGGATTATATCATAAAAAATCAATAGAAATTCTGACAGATAAGTTCGCTCAACTTTAGGTGTCACATTCAGCTTTCATTGTATCATAATGAAAATACAGTTGTAGTGGAGTACTAGCATTTTGTGATGTAGGTTGTCTTCCTGTTTTTTTTTCTGTTGTCTTTTCTTATAATAGAAATGCATTTTATAGCTGACATATATTATATCTAATTTCAAACAGCTTGAAATAATGCTGGAACCCAAGGTCTGGAGAGAAGCTGCTACTCAGGTGTTCTTTGCCTTAGGGCTTGGATTTGGTGGAGTCATTGCCTTTTCAAGCTACAACAAGAGAGACAACAACTGCCATTTTGATGCTGTACTGGTGTCCTTCATCAATTTTTTCACTTCTGTGCTGGCAACTTTGGTGGTGTTTGCAGTTCTGGGTTTCAAAGCCAATATCATAAATGAAAAATGTGTTATCCAGTATGAATATCCATTTCTTTTTTTTATTATTTTTATGGTATATTTAATTTATGAATTAACACAGATCATCGAGTTTGATTTCTCTGTTTTATTGTGTTTTACAGAAATTCAGAGAAAATTTTAAAACTTTTGAAAATAGGCAATCTGAGCCAGGATATGATCCCACATCATATCAATTTCTCAAGCATTACAGCAGAAGATTACAATTTAGTTTATGACATTATTCAGAAAGTTAAAGAAGAAGAGTTTGATTCTCTTGGTCTGAAATCTTGTCAAATTGAAGATGAACTTAACAAGGTGAGAGTCTTAAATACAGAGATTATGAACGGATGAGTATTTGTAAGCCTGAAATAAACGGTGAAGTATACTTACACAGAGTATCAGTACAGTGTACCTATGGTCAGTGCACCTCTGGAGATCCACATGAAAACTTGGTTCTGTGCAGGGTTGCATTTCAGCTCACCTGAAGACTTTTGAGTCCAATGTCTTAATATAGTCTTCACTGATTTATAATATATTCTGATCATTGTATTGCTCTCCTCAGGAGGTTTTAAAGTTCTGTTTTTTAGAAGAGTTGAGTGTGAGGATTTTTCCAAAGACTAAACAGAGGTGTACCTATTCAACATCTCAAACTGATGTTTTCTAATGTTAAGATACAATTACTAAATATAAATACTTCACTAGAAAGCAAAAAAGTTATTCTTTACTTATTATATAATTGCTTAATGAATATCATCCTGTTTTGAAATCTTTACAGTAAGCCAGATCTGTAAAAGAAGAGATATTTTTCTAGCTTTTTCAGAGGAACGTCCAGTTTTAAACACTGACCTCTATGTAGTTGCACCAGTATCTGAAGCTAAAATGTCAAATCGGTGACTTAGACATTAAAAGTTTCTATGCGATTCCTGCCATTTAAATTTGAAACAAATAGGTATAGAAATGAAGTCCTTTATATACTTACTGAAGAGAACAGTGTATTTTGTAGCAGTCCTGCATAATAGCTCTCATGCAAAATTATCAGTGAAAGAGGAAGTGTGTTGTTCATATCAATCAACTTACAGGTTCTTAGCCAAATCCAGTATTTCAGTAAATAGTGTTAAGTTTGCAGGTTTGGAAGAATCGCATATTAGATAGCAGCTTCCCACTCTAACTTCAAGATTTAATCAATGACATTGCATGAACATGAAGTCAGACTGTCACGCTAGAAAAAAAATACTGTCCATGAATAATAACATGGATTTTTTTCTCACTGACAGGCGGTTCAAGGAACTGGTTTAGCTTTTATTGCCTTTACAGAAGCAATGACCCACTTCCCTGCTTCTCCCTTCTGGTCAGTGATGTTCTTCCTCATGTTGGTAAATTTGGGACTTGGAAGTATGTTTGGAACCATTGAAGGCATCATCACACCTATTGTTGATACCTTCAAAGTCAGGAAGGAAATCCTTACTGGTGAGTTGCACAAACTTTCTTCTCTTACTAGAGCAGTAAGCTAAAAATCTTTTTTTTTGAGACTATGAAGTCTTGTTTTCTGACATGAAAGTTTTCAGTGCTGACAATTTACAGAGCAGTAAATCACTGTATTCCAGACTGTACTTCATGCACGGGCACATTAATATCTGCAAGTAAAACCTTTTCCTGAATGCTACAGGAGCAGGAAGATCGTAGAATTCAAATTTTAATGGAAGATTTCTGTTACAAGTTTCTGTATGGTCAGTCCTTCCAAGCTCTTCCAGAGAATACTTTCCATTCCAGCCTGTGTCACAGATAAGGGAAACAAAGCAAAAGGAAAGAATGAAAACACATTGCAAATTACTACAAATTATTCCTGCGTACGCCAATGAAATCTGAATTTATGATGAAATGTTTATTATGTTAAAAAACAGTACAGTTACTCTCTAAAGGAACATATTTTTCCCTATTGAATGTGGAAAGGGTCTTAAACAAGATGTCTATTTGTTTTGTTTGTTTGTTTGTTTTTTAAATGCCTGAAGTTATGTCAGATGTATCCTGTTCATGTAGCAATTTCTTGTAGCAATTTCTTGTAGATTGTCGTGTAGCAATTTCTCTTTCTGAGCTAGAACATCAGCATAAAATGTGACAGTTAGGTTTCTGAGAATCTTCAGGACAGCTGCAAGGGATGCAAATTCGGATTTCATATCAATACCTGTGACTGGAGGGATAGAAAATAAAAAACATAATAAGCTGCTTTAACATTATCTAACTCTATGAAGGAAATAATAATAATAATAATAATATATTTTCTATGAGTTAACCCCTGATACAGAGCACTGCTCTTTCCTGACTGCTGAGTACTTCTATAATAAGTAGTACTTAACAGAAGACAAGTATTTTTTTATTTTGCTAGATCTAAGAATAAAATTCTTCATAAATATTAATCAACTGATTTTTCAGAAGTCCTAACCTATTGAGCCCTTGGGGTTGTTTTTTTTTGTTTGTTTGTTTTTTTAAATTAGCTCTTAAACTACTGAATAACCAGTGTGACATTTAGACATTAGCTGTTTCCTAAGTATATATGCAAATACCGTGATATATAGTCATTACTCTGGAGTAATGGAGCATTTTACAGTAATTCCTTGTTACTGCATTTGACAAAAAAACCTATTAAGATAAAGGAATGTTCAAGAACTGCCTTTCTCTTGTAATTTTTTGGAGTGTTAATGCATGCATGATTTTTGCTAAACTCAGTTGTATTCAAAGGATTACAACTTATAATTAACTTATAAAATTGAAATGCCTGGGTTATACTTCATGCAGTATCAGTGGGATTCAAGAAGGATTATGCCTGCACTAGAGTTTGTGCTTAGAAACCACAAATCTTCAATTTTTGCAGAAGTGTGAACACATTTGCAACTTTTTGCACCATGGTTCCAGTTCAGTCCCTGTTGAGTTCAGGGAAACCGACTCATATGCTTAAACTTATTTTGTATTCAGTTCTCTCCAAATTGGAGTCTGCATGTGTATGTGCTGAGTTATGATGAGTATACCTACCAGAGCCTTAGTTTACAACTAAAGATGCATATTTTTGGGGTGTAATGGCAAGACACGATGGGAGAACATAAGAATAGCAAGGATTTCTAAATTCACATACACACGGTTCTGATGGTCTAATCCTTTTCTCAGGATCAGTAATAAAACTCGGTGTGAGTAATGAGACTCAGTTTGGGGAGTTTTTATCTGTATTCTGGTTTTGTCACCTTGTGTTAGGAGTTCACATCAATTTGTAATGATCTCTTTAATTCTAAATTTCTGTTCTCTGAAAGTCATTATAACAATAGTTACTACAAGATTGAAAAGTGATTGGTCTTATACCACAGTATTTAAAAAACTGTCATTGTCTTCCTTTCACTACTTTAATCAATATTAATTAATTATCTGGGATTTATGCAGTGGGTATATTCTGTAAGGATATTTTATACTTCGGCCCAGATCAATTTCACTTAATTTTAGACTGCTTAGGTGTATCCTTAGCCTAAGTTTTCAGTGGGGGGAAAAAAAAGGGTACTTCAAGTGAGAAAATCAATCTTACTGGTGCTCAACATATAATTAATTTATCAATTTATTGAAATCTGACTTATTTTATGGCTACTTAAGTGTTCAGTCCTATTCTTGATGAATTTAGTAGGAAAAAAACTATATATTGAGATTCATTATGTAGGATCAAGCATTCAAGAAATATATTTCGGGTTGTCCCTAAACAAAAAAAAGGGGCAGAAATTTTGTTGCTTAGTGCACAAATACAGTTAAGACAGATTCTAATGGAAGTTCATGCTGTGAATGATCTAGGGGAAGCCTATTCAGCCTTTTTATTTTTTAGAATCATAGTCTGAAACTTTGGTTCTTTTCACTTATAAATTCCAAAAAGTGATCTAGTGACCAAGTAACATCATATATGATGTTTAGCTTGCCAGTTCTGTTTATTTTATCCTTGCATTCACATGAAGTTAAATGTTTAATGAGAAATAGTCACTTGATTAATCTCTGCTGCTTGATCAGGACTGCTGTCATAAGGCAATTCCAGTAATTCTAATTTTATAACTCTTCTGTTATGTAGGGAATAGGTAGGATTCCTAATATTCTTAAAATTGAGACACCCCCCCCAAAGGAAAATATTATCAACTTTGATTATATGAAATAATGCATTCTATATCTTTGCTGTTTCGAGCTCTCTTTATTTCCTCTTTGTTTGTGGAACTTTGTTATACTTACAGCTCACATTTCTATCCTTTATTCCAGTCATCTGCTGCTTGGTAGCATTTTTTATTGGCCTGATTTTTGTGCAGCGCTCTGGAAATTATTTTGTGACGATGTTCGATGACTACTCAGCTACTCTGCCCCTGCTTATTGTGGTCATTCTGGAGAATATTGCAGTCACCCGGATTTATGGAATAGACAAGTAAGTGAAGGAAATGTATCTCCCTATCCATATCAACAGTATTCATTGCAATAATTATTTTAATTATATTGTGCAAAGTATTTGCGATGTACACATAAATACAAGTGAGTAGAAAGTGGGTCAGTCTGGAAGTGAATCTAGTCTGTTTTTAAGAACAGGTTTGGAACAAGGTATACTGCATGAGGACAGTGTAGTGAAACCCAAACAGCAATTGCAACAGATCCAAAGAGAGGAGAATGCAGTAAAAGAGGCAAAATTAGAGAGTTAGAAAGGAGGCTGGATATGCAAGTATGAGGAATTTATATAGAAATAAGACAGCAAGAGAATGATTTCAAGAAGTAAGAACCATGGTCTAAGCAGCAGATGAGGATGAGTATTCTGACCAGATTGGCAGTATTCCAGGCAGCCTGAGAAAGGAACAAAGCAAACTCCAGTGGCAGTAACAATAAGAAAGTTTCAGTTTATGAACTAGATTTAGTTTGGGGTGTTGTAGCAATTAATCGTTCTTTGAATTGGTTTTGAGAGACGAAATAGAGGAAATGAGAGCAAAGAATAGGGTCAAAACTTACTTGAAAGCAGCACAGTTGACAATGAAGTTAAGTGACCTTCTATCAGTGATGGCCGAAGAGGAAAGACCATCAAGTCCCTCTAATTTTTTTATGTCTTATGACCGAAACCACCAGAATGTGTTCACCAAGCAAGATCAGTGTGCCACACTTAAGGAATAGAACAGTTTGTATCAAAAATAACTCATGCCATCCACAGATAAAACAGACTATGCTATACTAGCATGTTGAAGTAATTTAGACATCTGTGATTCCTTTGCATGTACAAAGGGTGACATAGAATAGGGTGGTTTTTAATTTGAATTTTCACTTGTTCGATCTGAGTAATTGGCCAGTCCCTCATCATAATGAAATAAATCTGTAATAGGAAAATTTAATTTTATGGTTTCCAGATACTGTTTCTGGTCTACGCAAGTAGTGCCTGGTGTACTTACTCATTAAGGGATAATTTCCACTTGGGCCACTTGTGTAATCCTATAATTGATCACATAGGCATGAAAACAACGTGTAGATGTTTTTACACATGCAAACAAAAGATGAAACAGATGACCTGGGTATCAGGTTAGTAATGTCCGGTCAGGTAGAGTTCTACTGTGAAGCGAGGTAGACGTGCCAAAAGTCAGCAACTTAACCTGTGAGGAAGTTGGTGTTTAGGAATAGCTAAAATATGGTAATACTTTGCTTCTGAATCAGAGTGCAGTTGATTCATGTTTTCAGAAGGGGTTCTGACAGGATATAGTGAAAAGTTAACAGCCAAATACCTCATTCATAACAGCCACCTGGATCTCCCTCTGGAGTATTCCTAATATTTCTTCTGATGTATGTTTCTCCAGAATATCCTTCTTCAGGAACCTAGCATTCTTGTTTGCAAAAACTGCCAGAATCAACAACTTCAGGTTGTCATTGGCTGTGATAGCACCAAGGGGTCCTCCTCATAGATGAAGATCCGTATATATGTTTTATTAGACACATTGTCTTTGATCAGATAGAAAAAAACCAAACATTGCATCCAAAGGGATTACAGTCAAAGATAGAAAAAAGACAACATGTGAATCCCTGTAGCCAAGAAGGAAAATCTGCTATGCTGGAATCAGTACTAAAGGAGCTTGGTAGCTTTTAAAAGAGGATAAGTAGGATGGAGATGATGAAAGATTCTAAAGTGAAGATAATAGATTTATGTTTGACTCAATGAAGAACTGGAGATCCCAGAAAAGAAAAGGCTATCTATAGAGGGCACAATCCATTTGTAAATTCAGCTTCTTTTTAACGATGTGTTTCTGCAGTGTAAACAAAGGGTAGAGTACCCCAAACTATGCAGTTCAAAAAAAATGTTGAGAGTTTATATGACAGTAGCTTCACATGTGTAACTGCTTTGAAAACATACTTACTGCTATAAGAGCTTTTTTGAGACTCGCATTTCAAAAGGGAGTGGGACCACAAGGGAGTTAAAACAGGATCAGTGCTTGTGCACGCTCCAAAAGAGTTAATTCTACAAATATTATCTTTTTCTACTGGCTCTGGAATCATACTCCTCCATCAAGAGTACAAAAATAGGAGTTTTGTTCATATCATGACTTGCAATTTTGAGGCACAAGGAGGCAGATTTAAAACTTCACAAAGTTTTATTTCAGCAACTTACATGATGCAAACCATAGCTTATGCATAAAGTTATTTTTTACACTGCAGCACACATGTGAGTTCGAAATTAATTTTGCAGAATCTGTAAGATGTGCTGGTTGTGTATGTCCTCAAAAGTAATGACACATGCCTTAGTAAACAACCCAGTAGACAATATAAGAAGATATAAAAAAGAATCTTATAAAAGAAAGGTGAGTTTAAATATCTTTCCAGCACAGTCCACCAAGCAGTTTACTAAGTCACTGCACTGTGTAGCCATTCCTTCTGTTCATCTGTTCTGAACTAGTAACACAACCTCTATATTTCAGCCCATCAAGTAATCTAAACTGCAGCCATTTCTACACATGCATTTTCTCAGTGTGTCTGTTCCCTCAAATCAGGTGCTATGTATCAATTATAGTACTTGAAATCTCAGTATACGCACTAACAGTATCATTTTTTTCCTTTCACAGATTTATGGAGGATCTGAAGGATATGCTTGGGTTTTCTCCAAGCCAGTATTATTACTACATGTGGAAGTACGTTTCACCTTTAGTATTGTTATGTTTGCTGGTAGCTAGCATTGTCCAAATGGGATTAAGTCCTCCTGGCTACAATGCTTGGATTGAAGATACGGTATGTATATAACAGATGCCATCACCATCATAATGATCATATGTGAAGTATTTCAGAAGTACATGAAAATACAAAAAAATCTGCAATTAGAAATTAAAAATCAGTATAAATAACTCTGCGGTTGTTTTTATCTCAAGTAACATTAATGTAAAACCAACCGTTTTTTAATTTTAGAGTAGTTCTGCTTTAAAATATAACTGCTTGACATAAGCCTTCCTGCTTTTTGTGACTTTTAGTTTGTTGATGTATGTTGAAGAATTCTTAAGGGTGGGAGAGGTTGTTCACTTCCATTAAATCTTATTTTACTGCAGAAAATAGTCAGGTGATAACACTGAATAAATGATTTCAGATATCACATCAATTTTTTAATGTGGAATTAAATATTGAGATTTAGCCATGTCATAAATTTTCCCCTTTGGGAACACATATCGCATTGTAGGTAACAGCTGCATTAAAACCCGTCTCTGATAAGAGTGTTTGATTTGTAAAAAAACTTGTCTGTGTGAACTGCAGAGTCAGTGCTGCGTGTTGCTCCAAAAAGATAGTCATTCAAGGTAACTCCTAAGAGTTTTGCTAATTCATAGGCTCATCAGCTGTCAGCTGTTTCTACAGGCTTGTCATGTAAAATATAGGGAGCATAAAATGTCAGAGAAATTAATCTCAGGGACCCTTCTGAATGGACAGTTGTCCAAATTAGCCAGGGGGGAGGAAATTGCAGCAAAGACAGCTAAAGTGTAAATACAAGAGGTTAGCTTTACTGTAGGTAGACCAGGCAACCACTACTACTTTCTCCGGATTCTCAGAAAAACACTCTTACCATGTTTGATTCTTGCCCTCAAAAATTAGAAAGAGAAATATCTTACAATACCAAACATACCGTTCCTTTCCATGTATAAAATTGAATGTTAATTGAGCTACGAGGCAAACAGTCTGTTGGCTAGTGATTCATGGATGCAGTAGAGGTGTGGGGTGCAGTCACTGCCCCAGTAAATATGTTGTAGTTTGCATGAAGTTTATACAAAGTGGAACAATTCCACAGGGTGATCTGAGACAGTCCCTGTCTAGACCAGCTATTAGCTCGCAGAACAAGGACTTCCTTTCCAGGCACAGTTACAGACACCGCTGCACACTTGTGTGTTCTGAACATTGTTTAAGGGATCAGGGAACAACTACAGACAAATATAGAAGAAGGCCTAAGGTGAAAATCTTGATTTGGGCTCTACTAGAGTGCTCTGAGCATCTCAGAAACTGCGGGACAGTGTTTTGGTCCTACTCACAGGCAGAAAGATAGTAATCGTACATGTCCACGAGTGTTCAAATTTGAGATCGGTAGTGGTGCCCACATTGTGGGTGCAAGGTGACAAAAAGATGAGTATGTGTTTGAAAACTGCATGCCTTGGTGAGGACTGCAGATGTGCTCTTTTTTAAGTAAATAGGTATTAATAGTTTTTCTCTTGGGTCGCTCAGGCTACAGAAGAGTTCCACAGCTATCCAACATGGGGAATGATTGTCTGTATATCGCTGATGGTATTGGCCATACTGCCAGTCCCAATAGTCTTCATGGTGCGCCGTTGCAACCTTATTGATGACAGCTCTGGGAGCTTGGCATCCGTATCCTACAAAAGAGGCCGGATAATAAAGGAACCTGTTAATCTGGAGGGAGATAATACAAGTCTGATTCATGGGAAGAGTCCAAGTGAAGTGCCGTCTCCAAATTTTGGCAAAAACATATATCGAAAACAGACTGGATCACCAACTCTGGATACTGCTCCAAATGGACGTTATGGTATTGGGTACCTGATGGCAGATATGCCTGATATGCCGGAGTCTGATTTGTAACTGCAGAAAAAAAATGCTGTTTGTTTCTCCTCTCTCACTGATCATGGCTCTCCTACAAGAAGTGGTCAGCTTTTTACTAGGGTGTGATCTCAGGTGCTCCATAGCGACAGTCTTTAAAATGACTGTATGTACAGGTTGAGAAAACCCCTTTTGGATTGATTCTCTTGAGTTTTCATTTGCACTGAAGGGAACACATTCAAAATCAATGGCAGCCTACATCTGCCAGCATAGCCAAGAATTTGATTATTTTTAATTAATTTCGAAATTTAAAGCTTTCTATCTCTGAAGCCCGGGTCTCACTCAAATGATAAAATATTTCTGAGGTAATATCACTGAAAATCCTTTTTTGCCTGCTTTCAGGTTAACTCCCCAGTATTAAAAGTGAGCTCAGAAGTAGTTCACCAAACCCATGTTTGTGCAAACACTTGTATATACCTTATGTAGATATGCTGTACTTATTTTGTTAGCACTGATAATTACTTAGGCTATTAGCTGAGTAAAAAACAAACCTGCAAACTATTTTCTTATGTAATAGCTGTATAGAGCAATAGTATTAGAAAATCAAGGAGTAGACTTACAGGAAGGCAAGGAAAGATTCCCTGTTCACTGGGGACTGCATAAACTGTGGCTGTATATTTTGTGTAAAATATTTGCTTTTTCAGTGTGAAAACAACGTAAGAGTGAGTCACTCTAAGAATCTTAAGGATTGTGCAGATTCTGCATTTTTTTCTATGCTGTGTGCCTAAAAAAGACCTTCTTGATATTTATTGTGGTTACAAGAGTACATATATATTATATTTATATAATATACTTGTATTGTAAATATGTATATTATTCTGTATGTAATCGTTTCAAAAGTTGAAGCAAGATGGCTTTTTTAATTAGTCTCCTTCAGTTTTGCTTCTGTTTTATGCAGATAATTCTTTTCAGTCAGTAACTGTTAAGAACTGTATCGCATTACATTTTAACCTATGAATAAAGAGACTGACAAGGTATTTCTCTGTGATTTCCTAATACACTTATAACACAGCCTGCTTTTCCCTCAGCTGGACTATCTGAAAGAGTAACATTTAGCAGCTGAATAGAGATGCTAAAAGAATCTGAAAACAAAGTGCTAAATCAGTCATCTTAATAAACTATTGGGCAAGGACTTTTACTGTGAATACAGCAGTTGATGTAGCACTGTAAACTGGCATGATACTCTGGAAGCTAGTACATGATTTATTCCTTACCTTAAAGAACTTTAAAGATAGGTGTAAATACTGACTTCGCTACCTGTAATAAGCAAAGGGCAGAACCTAGTTACATTGTTCCAGCATCAGACGAAGAACCAGATTAATTCATCTGAGGTAAATGCAAGTCTCAGAATCATAACCAGATATGGATGTCTCACTATCCTACTCTCCATCACTCCAGTTTAACCCTGTTTCAGAGGCCAAAAAGTGAAACAGAACTCTTACATAGCTCTGACTATTCTCTATCATTCATTGCCCACCTCTTGCCCTTTGAGATGTGGAAAGAAAAATTGTGAAGGCTGATCTGGGATGCTGGTGGCCCAAGAGGTAAGTGCTTTCTGCTTGTCCACATGGGGAACTATGGTGTTCTAACACAGTGTAGCTGTGTGTCTCAAGAGTACAGCTTGGAGCATGTCAGTGTGGAAAAACTATGCCAAACAAATGAAAAGGAGCAAAATCTTAAATAACTTAGCAACCCAATAAAATTCCTTCAGGATAATTCTTTTGTCTTTGGGAGGATAATCCCAGATAATTCTCCATTTCTAACCTGGGAGCTTTTGGAGTTATTTCCAATTACCAGAAAGTTGAACTGGTAGCATTAGTTGAGAAAAAGCTGTATTTAATTACCAGGCTTATCTTACATTTGTTAGAAGTTGTGCACATAAAATAGAGTTTTAAGTAGTCCTCTAAAATGCATGTATTAGAACATATGGGAGAGAGCTGGTGTAATTTCAGCAGGTTGTGCATTCATAACTGATCAGTTGGCAATATTACGATGTGTATAATGGATCAGCATTAGAGACATAGAAGAAGCATGTACAAAATATTATTGCTGTGGCAGAGCAGCAGCAGATTTCCACTATCGTATCGCATCAGGCTTCTAAAGCAAGTGACTGTTCAGGGTAGTTGTCATGCATCCCCTCTGTGCCCAGTCCACAGAGTGCAGAAGTCTATTGTTACAGACTTCTTGCCTGTAGTGACATGTGCTTTTAGTTATATAGACCCCAGTTTTAAATGTGAAGCGATGGCCAAATTGCTGCTGCACAAGACCTGTTAAAAAGAATATGAGCAAGATCTTACTATTGAAGTGCAATAGCTACTTCTGTTTAAAGATCACAAAGGGGACTAATGCTACTTAAGCAGATTGCTGAAGATTATTCTGCTGGGAATATATGTCTTGTTTCTGCCCTTTTGCCTGTCTCCTTGAACACTTCTAATGAGTGTTTAGATTTTCCACTTACTTAAACCATTGCTTTTCAATCAGTTGCTTCCTAATAGCTCCAATTAGCATGTCTCACCTCGGCTTCATGAAATTTTTCAGGCTTGAGAAAGCCCAGAATGTATGTCCTGTCTACTGCTGGATGTTCGATTCATAGTTTGATCTCAACCGCGATTGAACACCCTGCAGTGCAGAAGTTCCTTTAACCTGGTTTAGTCAGATGGGCTAAAAATGAAGGCACTGTCTGTCCTGCCTGAAGAAGCAGGACTGGTCCAAAAAATTGCTAGATGTGGAGGTTTAAAAACATAAAAAATAATTACTATAAAGTGTAACATCCAAGGCCTTGGGTATTAATGAAAGAACTGCTGAAGCAAAGTATGAAACTGTATGTACAGTTGCTGTAAAAACCAAGGGAATTCATACCGCTTTCATACTGAGAGCAAGTTGCTACTTGCTGTCCTTATGGATAAAAAGAAGTAAAAGAAGAGCAGAAGGGAGGAGAGAGAGGTTTCAGAGACTTATCTGCTTGAAAGCCAGAAAGTCTATGTGTCATATCAGTCATAACCGCAATTAATTTGCATTTTTTTAAAAAGAAGAGATCATTGCAAAAGGCAGTCATGCTTAAAATTAAGGAAAATCCTATTTGTGTCCTACACAATCTGAAATAGCCTAAGAACAAAATCATCCATGTGAAAAGTGAAAATACCCTTCCAATGTAATTTCTTGCAGAAGGCCTAAGGCTTCTGAAACCAGTATGCTTTGTGAGATCTGATTTCCCCAAAGAAAGACAACAGAATCAGTCAGCATCGGTATGGCACAAATAAAGGCCATGTCATTACCTCCATACCCTTCAACAGAGGTTCTCATATTCAGTGAATTGCAGGACAGAGATTATACAGTCTTGTTGCCTGTTGTTAGTCTTTTCTAATGTATCAAAATTTTATCGATACCTTACAGAGTATCATGCAAGAGAAGAAAAAAAGAGAGCAGAGAAAAAAAAAACCAACAAAAAAGCGTGAAAGAAAAGCTGAGCAATCATAACCCTATTCTCAGGGAGCCACAGGTGCATGTCAGTTGATGAATCCTCATGCTGGCATAAGAGGAACAGTTATTTTGTCACACTGCGGAGGAATCAATTATGTTTGTGATAGCAGTGGCTGAGAAAAGAAGGATGTGTTTGCAAAAGTTTTTTGCATTTTTAATGAAAAAACTGTACTGACCACCAAGACTAACATGCACTGTTCAGTAGAGATGCAATGTACTCAGAAAAAAGCTTCCTACGGCTACAACATCTTTCAGAAATTAGCAGAAATGTAGTTATGCCAGTTTTCAAAAATGCAGGAAATTTAATATAAACATTTAAATGCCTAGTTAGATTCTGTGGTTTGAGGAAAAAGAGGAAATCAAAAATATAAGCTGTGATTTACTTCCTTTGCCACTGGATGGTGCTCATATTTCATGTGTGTTGGTAAAATGGCACGTTCAGGAGTTTTTAAAAGGGGAGAATGCTGTATTTTTATTCTCTACCAAGACAGCAAATTCTTCAGGATGATCATGGTCTTGCTAAAAGTCAGAACTTTGCTAATCTTTTGTACCTTTCATAGATATTTGATTTTTTATATCCAAGAAAGACGCAACAAATCTGTAATGCTAGTAAAAGCAGCAACAGTCAGTATCCCAGTGCCAAGTAGTGTACTTTTAAGTCCTGAAAGCAAGCAGCTTCTTGATTCAATAGTTTGAAATCAGTAATTTTCTAACGTGTCTTTTTCAAATATCCTATTACTTGCCATTCTTATTTCTGAGAATAGCGAATTAATTAGTTGGCAAATTAATTAGTCGACTAAGAGAATCTCAGACTATAGTATTACTACTACCACTAATAATTAATAATAATATTAAAGACTTCAATGCTTCTCACTGCCATCATCATTAAATGCTGAAAGTTGCAATGAGGTAGATGAGGGCTGAGGGGGCAGCAAGGAGCACAGAGAAGGGACAGCAGCTGAAGGAGTGACTCAAGCCTGTAAATTTGCTTCTGAAGAAAGCAACTACTGTGATATCTGGTAGTGTTTTAAAAGTAGTACGGCGACTCAAACACGCCTTGGGCAGCTCTTTAACCCTTTTGGTAAAGAGGGTGTAAAGCATTGCTCACTCAGTCTGACAGAACCACCATGTCTTTCATCTGTACTGTATTCACCATTACTTAGTACTAAATGAGTGAAAATATTAACTAAGACACTTTTGTCTCAAATCAGCATCAATACATGTATTTGTTGTTGCTTTTTTCTCAAGAAAGTACACAGAATGGCAGTGCGAGCTCCCATGCCGTAGTCTTTAAATTATGGTGTTAATATAAAAAATTTATTCAGTGAAAAAACAGATGTAGACATTCTCCCTTTTTCTTCAGTCCCGTATCTTTTTCTGCTTTTGAGATGTCCTCTGGATGTCCCATGTCCAATCCAAACTCAACAGGTGGAAAAAGAAGAATATATTTTCCATCACTAGAAGTTCAAGGATAAGAGATACTCTCTTAGCTAAAAGAAGTAGAACTGATTAGCGAAAAAAAAAATGATATGGAAAGAAAAAAGAAATTT